CGAGAGGTTCTCGAGAAAGGGGTTTTTTCAAGGAAGAACCTTTCTCTAGTTTTGAAATGGGTTGAGGAGCCATACTTGAGAGTTTTTGGAGGGCCGGAAGGAGTTCTTGCTGTTTTGGTAGATTTTGGACCCAATGTTCAACAAATTAGGTTTTGATAGGAGTTTTAATCTCCTGTTTTGTAGCGACGATAGACCCAAGAGATAATGGGCTTTTGCTGATGATATAGGTTTGAGGCTTTACGGTTGCGGGATAAGGGGTTTTTTTCCTTTGTTTTTCTTGGCTATCAAGACCTATTTTGCGAAAATTCTCCGGTCAAGAAATCTAAAATGTAATTTTGTTCTCCTTTAATAAATTTGATTTCAAAATCCAAAATACTAAGGATAGTTTGGTAAAATTATTTTGAAGTAATAAAAGTCCTTTTGTAGGAAAATAAATGAAGAAGGTTTTGATGAAAGTTTTGATACTCATACGGATGTATTTAGGATTTACATAACTTGGCATATTGCTCAAAACTTGATGAAGTCATTCGTTGCTAATTCTAGGAATAAAGGTAAGTCCTTATTTTTTATTTCCATATCAAGGACTTCTTCTAAAAGGTTTGGTTCTAAAAGAGTATCAACGATAGCGTTGAGTTCCACTTCCTTTTGTATTTCCAAAAAATTCTCAATAGAATCTATTGCAATCACTTCAAGAGATTGAAGAGATCTATCTAAAGCTCTAGCAGTTAAATAATCCTCCGTTTGATCGGTGTTTAGGCCAACAATGGTCATAACATCCTTTAAGATATCTTCTTCAAGAATAAGCATTTGATTAAACTCAATTGCCTCATCTTGGTCATAATCCATTGGTTGATCATAAAAATGTCTCATCCGTAAAATATCAATTTGGGAAGATCTTATGAGTTTTGAAGAAGGGATATTTTGAACCGTAAAAGCAAAAGAGGTTTGTCGAGTACCGACAATCATAGAACATGCTTTGATAATGTTAAGATTCCTAGTTTTGCGTTTTTCAAGAAATGGAAAAACAAGTTTTGTATTTTCTATTTTTGAATGATATGCAATCATGCTTCATAGAATATAGAGTAATCAAATTAATGAAAGGTGTTCCTAAGATCATCATATGATGTATATTTTCAATCAACGAAACCGATTTTTGATTCTAGTAATTCCATTGACCACGGAGGCTTCGTTTTTCCTTTAATGGTCATTTTAGAATTATTTATTGCAGAAAGACGTTCATTGGTTTGAACATGGAAAAGTTTTGGGACAATGCTTTGTTTAATATAATTTAAATCAACGCTAGTATCAAACAAGGCGATAGTATCAATTTTGAAATCATTCCGAAACACAAGAATAATTCAAATCAAGTATTTCCTAGAAGTAACTTCTCTAAGTACAAACAGAAATCTTCTGGAACATGTTCTAGATTCTCAAGATTTTGTAACTCTTGGTTTTCTTCAAGATTTTTAGAGTTAGAGTTTGACTTTTCTTCCGCTCGTTTTTCTAACAAGGTTTTTAAGAGACTGGAGTCTTTGGCTTATCTTTCTTTGAGCTCTTTAAGTTCGGCTTTGATACCTTAATCTCGGACTAGAGGTCCTAAATTATGGTCAAGTGTTTTTTGGTCTTCTTCTTCCTATCTAGAATGGCCATTAGGTTATAAGTACTAGTATTAGTGTAAGGCGGGATAGAACGTTTTGGTTTTTCTCAAGGTTTGTCTTCTACGGACTTTAAGAGCCTATCTAAGTATTCCTTTTGTAATTGGGGATCCTCAATCTTCTTAACAATATCTAAGATTAGGTCTTGGTCTTTGGTCAAGACATTGACTTATTTTGGGTTGTGTTCATGTTCACTTGTCGAATTGGGTTTTGAACTACAAGACGTATCAAGCTCATCTACTCGAAAGGTCTCTTCGTTATCGGAATAGTTCGAAGGGTCAAAGAATTCCATTAACAAGGCGAGAGATTTTGTTGTAAATCTATTTGTCTAAATGAAGTTCTTGTAACTCGGTATTCATTCTACAATATCTTGAAATATGGCCTTTTTGACAACATTTGTAATAGGTATAGTCCTTTTAGTCGATCCTAGGTTTGGGCCTAAACTGGGTTTTCTTAAATGGCTTTTGGGTGTTCTTATGGAAAGGCTTTTTGTAGAAGGGCTCGAACTTCTTTGGGATTTTCTTTGTGGTGACGATAGGGCTTCTTATAGGATTTCTTATGGGCCTTAACATCACAATTATTTTTCCGACTCGAGGATTTTGAAGTGAAAATATCAAACTTCTTACATAAACTACCTAATTCTTGTCTAGTCTTCTTCATTTCCCACTTAAGGTGTTTTTATAATTTCAAATCCCGACAAATTTATAGTCCTTCCTTCAGGTAAGACTAATCAATTTTCCATAGGTTAATTGGTCATAAAGGATCTAGTCACTAAAAGCATCCTTGATTCTATTTCTAACCTTTTCACCGAGGAGTACGGGAAGTCCTGGACGGAATTTCTCCTTTCGTAAAGGTTGGTTAGAGTCTTCTCGAGCATGACTCGGTCGGGAATGTGGTTTTGTAATACTGAAAATCACCGAGTTTCTTGCATCTAAGGTTACATAGAAGCTCGGTGTTTTTATCTTTAAGGTGAGAAGGATCTCCTATGAAATGAAGGAAAATAGTCAAGATGAGTGTTGACATTACATCTTGAATAGGTTCACCTAAGTCATCTAAAATGGGAAGGCCTTGTTGATCCATTTAAATAGAATTTAATATTTTTATATGTTATTAGGCGAGTGAGATGATAGTCTCACCATCCTTTGAGTTGGCCGAAAAACCAATAATAAGTAATTTAGCTATCGCACGGTCCGGGGTTCTAGTTTGGGTTTTGTAGGCATTAGCCGCCATGGTCATCTGTTGGAGTAAGCTAAGAATATTATACTCCGACAAACCATTTATGTTCCATTCATAAATGGAAGAGGCATTGAACCTTGGTTGAGCTAACTTGTTTGGCATTTCTCTTATGTCGAGGGCGGTGATCATAGTTAAAGGATTTGGCCAATGAAACTTATTAATTTCGAGGGCGATTCTATCTTTGAATTTTGATCTAAAACATTCACACTATTAGATTGGGGAGTCTCGAGAGCTATTTGTTTAGAGGTGCCTTACGAAGATATTCCTATCTTACTAAGTTGGTCTATAATGGCTCTAGCAAACTCGAGTTGGTTTGAATGAATCTGTTGTTGACTTGTTTTGGATACCCGAAAGGGTTTAAAGACTAGGTTTTTGAGTTTCTTATCTTCAATCTTGGTATCTTTTGGAACAATAGAAATGGTAGTAACAACTAACTTATGGATATGGTTTTCTATCCTAACCAATTGTATACCTATGGTTTATAAGTTCGTATTTGTAAAATTATTCCGTTGAACAATATTCTTGATGTTGACGAGTCATCATCTTTGAGGATTTTGTAAGGACATGCTTTTATTTTGATTTTTTCATGGGAGAAGGTCAGTTTCCTAGGTGGAGGATGGTCGGACCGAATCATTTGTCCTTCCATTTCCCAAATAAGAGTTTTGTTTCTAGTGGTAACGGGGTTCAAATTCTTAGCAAAGGGATAATCAATCAAATTATCACTAGCATATAATTTAAACCAATCAAAGAACAATATATGAATCTTATGAATATTCACAAACTCATAAAATTCATTTTGAATATCTTTTCTCGTTATCTAGAAAGTTTTTGAAGAACCAAATGCGTTTTGCAAAATTATGTTTTGCATAGAAATCATCATGCAGATATTGTTTGTCTACTGTAAAACTATCATCAAACATTACATTACATTCATTTACAATATTATCAATGATAGCTTAAGCGAGTAGGAGATAAAGGAGGAGAATCCTCTTGGTTTGAATATCCGATTTTGGGGATGTTGGTACTATAATCAACATTTTGTAAAACATGGTTAAGAACTTTCGAGGTTGAAAACCTATGTGGGTGTCTTAGAGATGGTAGACTTTGGTCTAAATCCGTATCTCTCCTAACATGTGATAAATATATGACTCGAAGGAATTTTAGAAAATCTTCCTAGGTCATAAGTCGTACAACTAGAGGCAACATCGGAAAATCTACTATTGGTAAATTTTTTGTCAAATGAGAGTCGAACACTCCCATCTATATGTTGAGCTATAGATCCGATTTGTGTGTTTGGTTTTGGGACCTCAAGCATTAGTAGAGATCCGGGTCTAGTTATTCCTTCTTGGACCCATTCGTCGTGGAAGACTATGTCTTTCCACCTAATAGGTCTAAGGATAACGGTATTGGACTTGGTTAAGTCCGTTTGTAGAAGAAGGGTTTCTCCTTTGGTAGATCGACGTTTATGTTTCGAAGCAAGCCGTAGTTCGTGGCCTTATAATGGATTTTTGTGATTAATGCAACTTGGATTGATCCGTCCATCATATTGTAATTATTGGTTTTGATTTGGAGTATTAAAGACTTCATAATATTTTTGTCATTCGAGAAACTGTAAAATTTGGGTAACAATAAAAAAATAGGTCCATCGCATAAATTGGACTCAATTGAACTAAGCAGAGAGTCCCGGAAATTTATAAAGCTATTGTTTCTAAGTCGGGATAGATGTATTCAATCCTTCTTTTGTTAATGGTTTAATTCCCACTTGGACTAAACCTATATGAATGTATTTGAAATTTTTGTCTCTGTGTTTTTGAAGAGTTTTTGAAGAGATGAGATGAATTGTTTCAAAGAGTCTTTAAAGTCGAATGTCTCTCTCCTCAATTTTGATAGTAAAATCCGTTTTGAAAAGGCTATATTTTAAGGTTTTGTAAATCTCATCTTTGTGAATCTTGGGTATTTCCCAATCATTAATTTGTTTTTCAAAATCTTCAATCATATATTCTACATTATTGATTATCTTCCTAGATTCAAAAGAATCAGAAGTAGAAGAGTTTATAAAGGAGGTGGATCTACGTAATATAGAGTCCATTCCTAGATAATGGTTTGGAGGTTTGGGTACACAACTATACGAAGGTGATTCCTCCGATTCATCGCCCTATCCGTCGGGCCTTACGACGACCACACCATCTCAACAAAGGTCTACCCTAACTCGTGATAAGATCTAGACATGAAAACTATAAACAATATATATATATATTAAAATTGATCTCTTCAATTTCTCGTTTCTTATGAAAATTCTCATCAAATTATTTTTTATTCTTCTTTTTATGTAATTTTATTTGTTAATAAATATGATTTATTTTTCTCTATGAATAGGTTTTTGAATAATTTTTTATTTAAATAAATAGTCAATTAAAAAAATAGAATTAACTTATTTTATTTGTAAATTATTTATATAATTAAAATTTATCAAAATTAATTTTATGGTTGTTTTTATAGTTAATCCCAATTTCGGTTACCAAGTTATCAATTTTTTCTATTCAAATGTATCCTATTTTAATATTTGTTATTTAAGTAATCCAAGTTGTAATTTTTTTTTTTAAAATCAAATGTCTCTGTTAGCTTTCTTTCAATTTTTTCTCTTAACTTCACATTTGATCCATTAATGTGACCCATTTTACACATGGCAATGACATGGCAACCACATGTAAATGATGTAGAATTTTTTTTTTTTTGGCTTTATATTCTAGAAAATCATGAACTATATACTTTTTAATGATTTTAGCTCGTTTTTTAAAAATTATATAGAAAGGTTACCAACTAAGCCTCGATAATAATAATAGCACCGATCTAATTTTTTGATCAAAATTTCTATCAACGCTAACATGGCGAGTCACATAAGCATGCCATGTGGACTTTAGCAAGCCACGTCGAATGCACATAAGCAATGACATAGAAAATCAATTACATGGATCTTACATGACTTTTTAAAGTCCACTTGTCATGCTTACGTGAATCCTACGTGGCTTGCTAAAGCCCACTGCGATGCTTCATCACTCGCCATGTCGGCGTTAATCAAAATTTTAGTAAAAAATCGGACCGGTGCTAGTATTATTATCGGATGTTTAGTTGGTGACCTTTCTATAGAATTTTTAAAGAATGAGCTAAAATTATTAAATTGTGTATAGTTCATGATTTTCTGAAACATTAAGTCTTTTTTTCTTAAATAAAAGGTTAGGAGACAAAGTGGTGAGAGTTAAGGTGGCTAGGCTTTTTGGCGGTGGTGATTCGACGGGGAAGAGGGCAATGAGTAAAGCTAGTTTGGGAGAAAGGAGGACAATGAAAAAGGCTAGGTCAATGGTGGCAATAGATGTCGGCAAAGTTGGTGAGAGAGGACGGTGTGGCCGGTAGTAGTTTGACAAGGAGGAGGATGACGATGATGGTGGGAGTGGATGAAGGAAGAGTCTCAAAGGTAGAAGTTTTTGGTTGTGAAAAGGATAGTGGTGATAGGGGCTAGATAAATGGTGGTAGTGAGCGTTGGCTGGGTTAGTGAGAGAGGACGATAACAATAGGAAAGTGGATGAAGGAGGAGGCATTTTTTGTGTGGGTTGTTTAGATGAGAGAGTGATGAAGGAGAAGGAGAAAGAGAATCGGCTAGTAGTGAGAGGGATGAGCTAAAATGGTTTTACAAGAAAAGAGGGAAAAGGCGGGTCGGGTGGTTCTTGTGGTGGTTTGGCCGGAAAAGACAGCGATAGTGACATGAATTTTTTTTCTCGCTTTCTTTTTCATTTTTCATTTTCCATGTCATTTGCACGTGGTAGCCAAGTGTCTCACACGTGGCTGTCACGCTTCTTGCCACATAAAATTGGTCTCATTAACAAGTAACGTGTGTATATGATGAAAAAAATTGACGAAAAGCTAATAAAGATACTTGATTAGGAAAATATATATATATTAGATTACTCAAACAACAAAATGAAAAAAGGACACACTTAATTAGAAAAAATTAAAAATTTGGTACACCAAGATTGTGATTAACTTATTGTTTTTGTTACGATCTATTAACTTTAATATATTTCTTACAATTGTTTTTTCCTAATCAAGTATCTCCATTAGCTTTTCGTCAATTTTTTTCATCATATACACACATTACTTGTTAATGAGGCCAATTTTATGTGGCAATGAGCTTGACGACCATGTGTGAGACACTTGGTACACTAAGATTGTGATTAACTCGTTGTTTTTGTTACGATCTATTAACTTTAATAAATTTCTTACAACTTAAGTTTTCTTTAATATATATATATATATATATATATATATATATATATATATATATATATATATATATATATCATTGATTTCATTGGAAATTAATTATACATCTACACACATAATACCAACTTTTTGCTATTTTTTTAATATTATAAAATTAATTTCTTTCAAACAAAATAATTAAAATAATGTTTTAGAAGAATCAAATAATAATTCAATAAAAAAATTTTATATTAATATTATTGATTATTTTGTAAATAAATAAATATATTTTCAAAAGGTTAACCTTCTCATCGGCATTAAACAAGAATAAAAATATTTAATTATTAAATTTTATATAATTTTTTACATTAATTATTACTTTACTTCCTCGAAGCAATCTTATGAATAAATTTTAAGACGTTTTTTAAAATTTTATAGTAAATATTTTTATTTAGATTATTATAGGTTTTTATTTAAGACTAAATGAACAAATTGTGTTTTTTTAACTATAAGAATTATGAAAAACATAAAAAAGAATAAATTAAATACAAAATTTTGATTAAAAATTATGAATGATATGAAATTTTTATCTTTTATCTTTAATTTTATATATTTTGATTGACCAACGACATAGTATAGATTATCAAACTTAAATAAGTATATTTTATTTAGCTTGTGACATAGTGCATGAAATCGACTAGTTTATTCTAACAGATTTGATGGTATTTTTGTTTTTTAATCATGTTTGACCAGTTTATATGCTATTTTCCTTAGTTTAAGGTTAGTTATTGTTTGTTTGTTTGTTTTTGTGTTTTTATGCCTGTATATGGTTGTTAGTACTGTAATGGTAGTTTTATCCAAATTGCCAGTAATTCAGGTTTCATATTTTTTTGTCAAAAAATAAATATCAAGTAGAAGATCAAGTTCCTAAAGCTACTAATGAATTACGGAAAATAATGTACTAGATGTCCGTCCATTTATAGAATAGTGCTTAATGTTTTTCAGATCTAGATTTTAGAACTGTAATTTCTATGTAAAAAAAAAAAAAACCTATTGTGTGTTTGAAAGCCCTTCCGGCCACATGTCAGTCTTTTTTATTCTCTATATACTTGGAATTGTGTTATATCTTAGTTGACTTAAAATCTGCAAATAGATATATTCCTCAATCTTTGTTTAAAGGGGTGATATTATGCAATAATATGTCATAAATAAGTAGTAGTACTAATTTTGGTGAAAATGTTAACACAGGGAGTATTCATTGCATACTAGCTCAATTTTTCAAATCCATTAGTTGGATTGTGTGAAACTGTCAATTTTGTCGTTATAACTTAATGTATGTTTAGCATGACATATAAAAAAACAACTTTTAATTTATACTCTAAAAATTATTTTTCATAAATAAATTATGATAAAATGAGTTAGGTTAGAAATATGTTTTGAAAAATATAACTAGGAGCAAATTTTAGAATATGGATGAAAGCGTAAGTTAGAATAAAAGAATTTATAAATTAAAAATTAATTTTGTGTACCATCATAAATAACCAATTAGTGACCATCCTTGCTTATCCTCATGTTAATAGTTTTTAAAATGCTATCTTTCCTCATCAAATTTCCCCATGTTATCTATTCTCTTTTATTTTGTTTATTTTATAAAATAAAAATGAATTGGAGAAATACATGAAATGACAAAAGGACAAAGGATAAAAATAAACTAAAAATAGAGAGTAAATGAATAGTTTAGGAAGCAAAAGGACTAATTAAACTTCCTTTAAACTACAAGGACTAAGTTATAATTAACTCCATCAGATCACCGCCACCGATGTAACCACGAGGCGCCATCAAGTTCTTCGTCGCACACGCAACGCCTCCCAAGCCCCCACCATGCTGACTCCTTACTCTGTCTATAAATTAGATTTCCATAGCCTACCTGTACTTTCTCGTTTCTAAGTTTCAGTTGGTGGTTGATTATCAACGTAATTAAGGAGGCGGCATGTCATTAATCTCATGCCCGTATCGTGTCACCTTAGGAATAAAAGCAGATCGATCCAGCGACCATGAATATTAAATAATTTGTTATATGCTTGTATGGAATTAATTTTTTTAAAAAATATATATATTCGAATTAGGAAATTGTCCCATCAAATTAGTTACAAATCCTAAATGTTGGGTATCATATGGAACTCAGTCTTATGTCGATGAGACATATAATAAATAAATAAATAAAAAGGAAGAAAGATTTGTGAGGTTGCTAATTATTTGGTTACTTGAAACTATATTAGTAATCTCAATAAAGCAATCCGGCTGCATTCATACGCCTTGAGTTGGGGCTGATACACGGGAGAATTTAAAGCACCTGGTTGGTTTGTTGGGTCCATTTATATTCCACACAGTGTGCATGACATTTTGAAAAATACACCTCCCACCGTCTCTCTCTTCATGTCAATTGGCAAGCGTGTCATTGCCCATCAATTTTGCTATTCTTTCCTTGTATCTTTTATATTTTCTTTTGGGCCCTTACAAATTAATGATTTGCTTTAAAATTGAAGGCTAACCTCAAAAAAATTAAAACACCCCTTCTTGTATGGATACATTCAAAATTTCATTGGACAAGAGGATTAGATTTTTCCATTGAAGAAAGGATTTGTTGTATAAATAAAATCCCCTTAAAAAACTTTCTGAAAAAAAAAAAAAAAGAGATTTTTTTTTAATCTAAAACTGGAAACAAAATTTTATACCAAAACAACTCAAATATCTACCTATCACGTAGCATTATCAATCCATATCGGTTTTTTTTTTTTTTCATAAGAAAAATTCTATTTTGAAGGTTTGGAGATATTAAAAAAATTGTTGGTTAAAATAGAAATTATTTTATGAGGTTTTATGTTCATAATATTATTTTTATAATGTATTTACAATATCATATTTATATTATTTTATTAAGTATACCTTATGGCATACGTACACAATACACAATGGTTTCTTTTCCTTCAAATTCCAACTATAGTTCATAATGAAAGAGTAAATTATAAATTAGTCCCTTTAGTTTTGAGAAACGAATTAGTTAGTCTCTCTAGTTTCAAAAATTAATTTTTTAGTTTCTATATTTTTAAATTTCTTGTGACCAAATAATTATTTTTTAGACCAAATGGGACTAATTAATTTTTTTAAAAAATAGAGGGATTAATTTATAATTTACTCAAAATGAAGTGAACCAACTTTAATAAAGAACGATAAGTGAAACTAAAATAAAAAATATCAAAAAGTTTATAGTCCGAGTAATAGTGATCTTTTGTGATAAAAGATCACGAATTTAAATCCTAAGCCACTAATTATACTAGAAGTCTTGGGTGTTTGGGTTTAAAAAAAAACCCAAAATTAAATATTATCTTTAGTAGATGAAATAGGAAAGTTGATAAATAAAAGATCATACAATGTCGAGCGTGAGAAAATACTGAAGAAGTCTGTTTTTTGAAAAAAAGATAACATATAATTAAGGTCAGAAAAAGTAGTTCATATCAAATCTTGAAAAAACAGCTAGTAATTAGGTTTTCGTTATATATATATATATATATATTCTTAAAAGTATTTAAGCAACTTTACAAACATGGGCTTAATTCACGTAGAGATTTGGTGTTATTATTATTATCATTATTAATATTTTATCCAAGACGCAAATTAAGGTATGAAACAAGGGATTCTTAATTACGTTTATGAGACTGTAAATAATATTGTTATTACTTATATTTAACAACAAGTTTATTATTTTCTCATTGTAAGTGCAAGTGGGAACTATTTCCCAACAACATTGAAAATACGTTCATTCATATTAATTATATATAATTTATGTTGTTTTTATTTTTGTTGAATTTATTTCGTGATCTGATGGTAATAAATTACTCAAAAAAAAAAAAAAAAGCAGCAGGATGACTTTGTTCGTTTTTTTTTTTCTTCCTCTAAAATTTGGAGTTCAAATAAACCTTAGACGACCAAATTGACAAAGGCTCCCTCAATTATAAATGCCCACATGCCTTTTTAAGGTTTCAAGGTGTAAAAATGACATTTTATAATAAAATTAGGTGCTCGACAACCTCTTGATCAAGACTACTCATGGATTGATTTAAATGAAATTAATCCTCATTGCCATTATTTGTCGT